AAACGAAAATTGATTGGACAGTGTTTTGTCAATTTCTATATATTTTATTTATTATTATAATAACAGTAATATATATATACATTATATAAATTCGTGTTACATTATTTCAACCAAATACTCGGATTTGCGTCTATCATTGCTTATTTTAGTAAAATTACGATTTCTTGGTTCTTATATGTTTTGCTATCTTTCTTTAAATATCTCGAAATTTTACTAAGCAAAGTGGGTATAGTTCCTAAGCTAAAATTAATCTGTGTGAATAATTACATATAAAAACATTATTAACTCAAAATCGAGATTTTGCTGTTAGGTCCCTTTCTATTTTCCGCGCCCCAATTATCGAAAAGGGATTTGTCAAGTAGCTAAGCAATTGCATTGGTCAGGCATGATACCAAATGTTAAAAACAAAATTTCTAGCATGCCCTTTATTGCTTGAACTAGTTTAGGGCTACTCAATGTTACAAATGCAAATAAATAAAACGCAAAACACGTACATATTCTTTCTACATCAAAATTCCCTAGTCAAAATTTTCATATTTGTATCAACTTTCTTTTGATAGAATTAATTTTTGAATTCCTTGGTTTATGACATTAACAGTAAACATGTTCTTAAGGAAATATTGAATCGTCTTCTAGAAAACTTCAAATCCGTCTTGATCTTAAAAGAAGCTCAATTTACTTGGTTTATGATAAAGGTGAAAATATGTCATATGTATATAATCCAAGAGTGGAAATAAGCTCAATTCTTTTTCTCTTTGGTTAACACTCTTAAAAAGCAGGGCTTATTTAGCGGGGAAAGGTCTGCAATTAATTGATATTTTTAGAGCCAGTTACTTCTACCCCTAACCTTGCATCCATCTGGTCAAATGCCCTACTGGAATAATAATTCAACTGCGACCATTTTGGATGTTGCATCATCAATTAAAAACAAAATAACATTAAATGGTAAGTTATTTGGAATTGGGCTGAGGAAAAGGGCTTATGATTATTTTTTTTTTTTTGGGGGGGAGTGAAATAACCATAGAAAAAGATATGACAAGGTGGAATTTGGAACAATTCACAATTTGACGTCTGAAAAGATGTATGAAATTTTAGGAACAGAAAAAGAGACAATATATTCACTAGAACATTCTTTAAAAAACATATATGATATTTTTAATAGATACTATAATGCAGAAAAAGAGAAACATCAAGTGTTAATAATGATAATTATAGTGACATTTATGATGGAATTGATAATATTGATAGTAACAATAACAATAACAATGTAAATTATTTATCTCGTAGTGATATTTATGGTGAAATTGATAATACTGATAATACCAATACCAATAACAATAATTATTTATTTAGTAATGATACTGTAAATGACAATGTAAGTATTTAACAAACTCTTCTGTTTTGTCAATTATTTATTTTTTACAACAGAACAATTATAATAATATAAATTGGTGTCGGAAGAGGAGGAACGAAGCATCATCATAAGACATTTCAAGGCAATATCAAGGAATTACTAAGCCGGATTTCAGGAGACTTGCATATAGGGAGGTGTGAAATGTATCTCTGGACTAATTTATGAAGAAACCCATAGTGTGTCAAAAGTGTTCCTCGAAAATCTAATTAGTAGCAATAATAATGATGATGATGGTAACAAATAATAATAACAAATATTAATAATAACCTAATTGTCATCTTTAGAATACGGTGACCTATGTAGAACATGCAAAACACATCCTTGTATGTCGGTATGTTGGTTCACAGTGTATCCGTTAGATATACTAGATTATAATTTTTTAATAATGATAAATAAAATGTGTTTAATTATTTAATTATTACAGTTTATGCACTAAAGAAACAAACAGACACAAATATTATTCTTTTTTTGCTAAATTATCATTTAATTATTAATTTATTTTTGATTTTTTTTAACATAAACTAGTTAATCAATTTTATTACATCTATGCTAATAAATAATCAAACATTATCAATGATCATTGCGTAATTTTACATGATTGGTCCGATTATTTTTATATATATATAATATCTAAAAAATGCTGCCATTACTAAAGTTCGATCTTAATGTCTTACACTTACACTTATTGTTTCATTATAATAGCCACCTTTATTGTAATTATTACTGTTGAAGTTGTGGTATGCAACATCTGTTAGGTTGAATTACTTTCTCAGATTACGCAAATAACTTAAACTTCTTTTAGTTCTTTTTTATTGCCTGCGTTTATCTATTGATTGCCTTAATTGCTTACCTCGGTTATCTCGAATTCGAGGATATTATCTGGATTCTGAAAGGCCTTGGAATACTTGATGGTACGTATATTATAGCCAATCATTGTGCTTGTGTAATATAAAATCTTTTAAAATTAACATGCTTAAAGCCAACGGCCACAAAATAGATCTTGACAACTTAGACTTAAACCGTACCTACACGTTTGAAGAATTCGAATTCATCAATGAACAATTAAAGACATATACCTTGGAGATCAATGAGACCCCTGTGGATCTATTCGAGTTCAATAAAGGAAAAATCCTTCCAATGCCCCAAAATCCGATAAGTAAGGAAGCCGTGGTTTGTGAAATTTCTAGTCAACTTCGCAATTGGAATGTGCAGACTCGTGAAAATGGAATTATCACTACATCTCAGGGTGGATTTGATTTCAACATTTCTGGCCAACGGGCAATTCGTGCACCTGATGTTGCATTTATCCCAAAGAATATTTACCGTTCACTTAATCATCAACAACAATGGACCTTCAAGGGTCAGCAGCCATTTACGCTCACCTGCGTTGTAGAGGTCGCAGTTACTCAAGAAGGATACCAAGAATTCAATGATTTAGATCAAAAATTCAGGGAAGTTTACTTTGCAACGGGCTCGTCAGTTGAGCTTGGTTGGTTAGTGGACCCACAAAATAAGCAGATATATATTTACAGACGGAGGGCTAATAGGGTTGTTTATCGAACTTCACATGGCTGGAATAATGTAAATGGTGGCAATGTTTTGCCAGGATTCACACTTGAAGTAGAGAAAATTGATGATGCAATTTCACAGGTAAGTTTTATTACTTTCTATGTTGTAATTTATTAATTTTTGTTATTTTTGTTATAAGTTCATGTATTTCATGATTAGAAATCCTCGGAATCATCATCATCAGAAAGTGATGAAACAATTAACTGTCTTAAATGCGGTGCAACTTTCTCAAATGATTACACTTTCATGAAACACTAGGAAGATAATCATGCTCGTAAATGGCGTAAAAAAGAGCGAAATGATTAAATTTATGTATTTATCTTATTATGAGAGTAGAATTATAAAATATTAATAATGTGCAGAAATTTATTTTGTACGAACAGATGTGAATATGTTTCTTAGTCTAACTGTTAATTAAAAGCTTTTGCAAATTAATAAATATATTGAATTTTATGATCAAATCTCTCATATATGCGTCTCTGAGGTAAAATTACGATTAATAATATGTGATCGCCAAATCTTCTGTTTTTATGTATATATTAACATCACACAAAATGATCAAGAAACAAAATAATCAAAGTACCAGCTTTTGGGGAACATCTTTAATTAGTGTAAAAGACTAAAAGACATTATGATTATTGATATTATGTGTTGTGGTTGATATTTCCTTGCTTAACACAAATAAATGAGAAATTTTCCATGTCGCTGTCTCTTATTAGTATAAAAAGGCAACGTGAGCTTTTGCATGCCGTGATATTAAATCTTTGATCTCGCGTAGCACGTTAACATTAAAGTTAAGTTGGGATTGGATTGCGTCTTCTTCGTCGTAAAGAGCAAAAAAATCACATCAGTTGGGTCAAGACAATAGTCTATTTTATTAAATTTGAATCATTATAAATAGGATATTCAAAAAAATTTTTGTTTAACAATTGATTGCTGCGTCGGATTATCACATCGTGAAATTATTTTTATTTTGGTAAAGATCAGTGATGTGAATTTTATATTTTGGACACAAATACAAATAATATTGATTTATAACACAAATGGACCTACAACAACAACCTATTAACGAAAAAGCTAACACTTCTCCACCTGTTATTGACATTAATGAAATTGGATGGATATTCGTACAAGAGTATTATACTTTCTTACATAAACAACCAAATCGTCTTCATTGCTTTTATGGAAAAAATTCTCATTTTAACCATGGTGTTGAAGGTGAAATAGTAAAAACCTTGATCGGTGATAAGGTTAGTTAATGTTAATATGCTTAAAAAAAATATTGTTAAAATCCATACATTCGGGCATAAATTATAACCAATAGTAACCAATATTTATATATTGATATTAAATATTAAAAAAATTTTTTTTTTATTTTTTTGACTTACAAGGAAATCAAAGAAAAAATTAAATCATTGAATTTTGAAAAATGTAGAGTTGCTGTGACAAGTGTGGACTGTCAAGCATCAAAAGATAATGGAATAATCATTCAAGTATTGGGCATGATGAGTAATCATGACGAACCATCTAGAAAATTTGCACAAACATTTTTTCTTGCCACGCAACCGAATGGTTATTTTGTTTTGAATGATATTATAAGATTCTTACTTGATGATGATGATAATAATGATGACGATGGTGATGAAAGTGATGGTGTTCATGATCATGATAATGATATTTGTACGGAAGTTAAAAGCCCGGATTTACAAAATGCCATCAAAAACGATTCTTCTCCAACATCTCATAATGGAACTTTGGTCAAACAAATAAATAATGAATCAGAATCAATTAATCAATCCAACGTCTTGGAATCTGTGCCTTGCACTCATCATGAAAATGATCAATCATCTGCAGGAGGTTCAGCTGCTCAAATTATCACTAATACACAAACCATTGCCAAAACTCAAACATCTCCTGTACCCAGTAATGTTCAAAAAAGCACATCATCATCAACACCACCACAATCATCAACACAACTACAATCATCAACACCACCAAAATCACCACCACCACCACCACCATCGAAATCACCGCCACCGCCGCCAAAATCACCACCGCCGCCAAAATCACCACCACCACCACCACCACCATCACCACCATCCAACAAAAACCAATATCCATCAGTTGTAAATGATAAACCTATTCCTATTCAACAATCCACTTCACTTCAAAACCATCATGTTGTTGCTAATACTCCCATTCAATCAACAGCCAATAGTCAATCCACACAAACTAAATTACCTCTAGTAAACGTTAATAAGTCACCAAAATTGTTGCCCCAAGATATTAGTCAAACTATTAGCAAAGTTGATGACGAACAATTAACTACTACTGACACTATAAATGAACCCGAACCTGCATTAGAAAATGAAATTACAACAAATGGTGTAGATAAAGCTCAAAAGACCAACAATGAACAAGTTAAAAACACTATTCAAGAACCTGTTAAAAAACTTACTTCAATTGTTACCACCAAACCTAATAACGATGGCAATAATAATAATAATAACACCCAATCATTAAATAAATCTACTCCTCCAGTAAAGACATGGGCAAATTTAGCTGCAAATAATGCTGATAAATGGAATAATGAAGCTTTGTTAGACCCTAAAGGACATGTGACAACTGTTACTACTCCTATAGTAAAAAATCAAAGAAACTCATTACAGCAACAAAAACGTGATAATCATGATAGTCATGATCGTTCTCAAGATGGACAAAGAATTGGTGTTCGTCGTGTCAGTGGTAAATGAAATGTGTTACTAATAAAATGTTATTTTGTCATTGCATACACAATTATTTAATTAACTTATTAACCTATTGACTAATTAATTTAATGAATAAATACTAGAAACAGGATTTTCCATCTATGTCAAAGGTGTTAAACCTGGTATGACTTATGATTTATTGAAGGGTAAATTTTCAAAATTTGGTAATGTTAAACATCTTGACGTTGTTCCTACAAGAGTAAGTACTAACTTTATAATTAATTAAAAAAAAAACTTTTTTGATAATAATAATAATCAATCAACGTTTACTAATTAAATTTATTAATGATGGACAGAATTGTGCATTTGTAGAATATTCTTCATCAGAAGCATATCAGTATGCCCTCAATGCAAAATCTATTGAGGTGAATAATGTCACTCTTTATATTGAAGAACGTCGACCCCCTCGACGCAATAATTATAATAATAAAGGTGTTCAACAACATAATAGAAATTATTAATTATTCTGGCATTTATTTATTTATATAATAAATATATAAAATATTGTATATATTCAGCAAAAATCGAAATAAAGAGCAATGAAATCATTACTATTGTTTCCTTCTTGTTTAGGTGAGGTCTAACTTGATTAATTTGATATTAAAAGAAAGAGATTAAGATTAATTGCCTTACTGTTTGGAGTTTGTTCTTAATCTCAATTGAAAATAAAAAATACATTTAATAATCTCTTCTAAATACCAAATTTTCATATCTAAATAGAAACATGTAATGCTATTTTCCATCTATTTGGTAATAATTGTTCAATTATTTCATTCCATTTACTAATAAAAACTCCAGTAAAACTAATTAAAATAGAGATTTTGCATTCCCAATCCTCCACTTTGTAACAAATAATATTTGATTTAACCCATATTTGTTTTAAGATATTAAGAACATGCAAGGAAAATAACGAGTTTTGAACACAACGGATGCTGATTATTAACAAGAGAAAATATTGATATTTTCTCCTTATGGGAAGATTATCCTCAAATAGGTCAAGCAACTTGAATGTCTGTTATTTTCGACCCTTTGGTTCGTGAGTGATTTTTGTCTATTTGTATGATCATAGAAAGGAGCTAAAGTCGCATTAAAATCATCTGCAATAATTATGGGATTGTCATCTTTTTGCTTTGTTATACCACTCAGTCATAATAATGCTCTAAACCTTGTTAAGTTCTATAAAAAAGTAATAATATTAAATCCAAACCTTTTTAAGTGTCACGACTCGTTAACATTTCTTTTGCATTTCTTCTATTGAGTACTGCATATGGTTGTTGGTGTTATGGTTTTTTATTGTGGTTGTAGGTTTTTTCTTGAGATTATGTTAGGTTAAAAAAGTGATCGATTTAAAATACAGGCAGGATGATTGGCATTCTAGTCGATATAATTTTGAGCAAAATGTTGGAAATGTTGTGATTATAATGGTATTTTATCCCTTCTATCATTTGCAGAAGACGCATTATACAAGTGGATTGTACAAAATATAGAACTATTTACAGGTGACACACTACTCCTCTATAATAGGCAATATGATAATATGAAAATGGTCAGCTAATTTTTCTAAATTTTGGGTGAAAGAAAGAGATCAACCACTTTCCACCAATCTCGGCAACCACTTTGAGTTTGATGATAGCTACCTATTCAAAAGTCTTAAAACCTTTCCAGGATCAGGAAAATTGGTGACCCTTCACATAAAAAGGATAGTCTCGACCAAAACTTATTATTGCCTTCGCCTCAAAACCTCCTTCTCCAACCAAATATTTTGTTCTAGTGAGAGTGAATAACTTGGTGGATCTAGAGTCTTTTATAGCTAAATCAACATTCTTCCAATATATATCTTTACTTATACTAGGTCCAATCACGCTCAGGAATTGACTATTGTTTTTCACGTAAGAATTCGCTTACATGAAAACATTGTCCTTGACCTGGTCTTAATGGTTGTTCATTTTCACCCAAAATTGTTTTAACCGCGAAATATAAAGTAACCAAAATGTAGATTTTTCCCAGGCTTAAAGATAGTAACCTGACTTCATTTGTATTATTTTCTTCAAACATAGTTATCAATTTCTTCCAAAAAGTATTTTTTACTATCTTACTACATCAGATCGCTCACGTTCATCAATACATATGCCTCTATTATATTTTTGCCTTCCGATCCCTTTTTTTTAAAACAATGTCTTCCAGTTGTCTCTCTGAATTGTTTTTTGTTTTACATATCGGTCAATGAAAGGTTTTTTCTGATTAAATATAATCAATTAGTCACTGAATTTTAAGAGCAAAATTACATCATTTAAAAATATTAATTATTTACCCCACGCTTTTTGAATATCTTAATCTAGCGTCTAAAAATAAATTGATGATCAAATATCTTAAACATTAGTTTGTGTTCATGTATTGATAATCAATTTATTATTTATATATTTATATAAATATATTGAATTAATTTTATAACAATGACGTGTAATAAAACCACTACTAAAATTTTGATTGGGACTACGGGTAGCGTTGCAAGTATTAAACTGCCATTACTTGTAAAATCTTTATTGGAGGTTATATTATTATTATTATTATTATTATTATTATTATTATTATTATTATTATTATTATTATTATTACGAATAATGTCATTTTAAATTGTTAGGAATTAATTATTTTCAATTTTCAATTTCAATAGTTTGAAAATGTAGAATTAAAAATCATTTCTACTGATAGAGCTTTACATTTTTTTGATAAAGAAGCAATAAAGAAAGATTATGGAATACAAGTCACAACGGATGAAGACGAATGGAAGGTAGAGATTAAAATTAATTAACTTATTATATGAATAAATAAATAAAAATAATCAATATTATTTATACAAATAAGACTTGGGATAAAATTTCAGATCCGGTTTTACACATTGAGGTAAAATATAATATTATTTATATATATTTTAACCTTACAAAATATTTTTTTATTAACAAATCAAAAATAAATTTCAAATTTACAAAAAGTATCGAAATTGGGCAGATGTTTTTTTAATTGCACCATTGGATGCTAATACACTTGCAAAAATAGCAAATGGATTATGCGATAATTTACTTGTTAGTGGATCATTTTCTTTCATTAATATATAGCAACAATAATATTTAACGTATATAACATTTATAATAAAACTACCAATTTATTTAGACTTGTATATTAAGGGCATGGGAATTGGGAAAACCGGTGATAGTATGTCCAGCAATGAATACTCATATGTGGAATAATCAATTTACTGCACAGCATTTATCGATTCTAAAGAAACAATTAAATTTTGACATTATTCAACCAATTAGTAAAACTTTGGCTTGTGGAGACACAGGTTAGGATTTAAATCCAAAGTAAATAAATACATTACATATTATACATTTGTGTATTTATATAAATATATTATTTAGGTGTTGGAGCAATGGTTGAAGTTTATACGATAGTTGAATATATTCAAAATAAATTGCTTTTAATACGAAAGTCTGAAAATAAAGATTGAATTCCTCATTAAATAATATTTTATTATGTGATCGACATGCGCTTAATTTCATCTTGATTAGATTTTATTAAAACAAAAAATGTCAATATATGTTTTAGGAAGATGTGGAATGCTAAACAGATATTTAATTAGCCCTTACATAAAAACGCCAACATTACATTTATTTGAAACTTTCCAACAAAATAAAAAAATTTTTAAACAAAAAATTTTTTATTCTCAATTTTCGGCATTATCTTCCAATGGTAACAATTAATGTCATTATACGTAAATAATGAATATATTTATATTTATATACATTGATTTGAAATTAGGAGAAGTTCCAATAAGAACGCATACTTGTGGTGAGTTACGAATTGTTAATGTTGGACAGCATGTTGTGTTAAATGGATGGGCTCAGAAAATCCAGTAAGTAATTATATAATGATAGTTTTTTTAATTAAAAAATAAACAAAAAACAATTTATAATAAATTTATATAGTAAGTTATCACCTGGACTGATATTCCTACCTATCCGTGATTCTCATGGTATAACACAACTTGTATTAAGAAACGAGAACTTGTCTAATAATAAAAAACCCGATTTGCTTGAAAAATTATCCAACTTATCCATCGAAAGCGTTATTTCTATACAAGGCATGGTTATGGGGCGACCTAAAGAAACTATAAATAAAGTAATCTTATTGATTTTAAATAATAATATATCATCACTATCACTATCACTATTAAAATAAAAACTTTTAAATATTAGAATATGGAAACTGGAGAAATTGAAGTGGAAATTAATGATTTAGTTTGCTTAAACCCTGCAATCAAATTACCATTTTTTGTTTCAGATAAATTGGTATAAATGATTTATTAAATAATTTATTTAGTTATTAAAGAATTAAAATAAACAACTTAATTTTTATAATTCTTAGCCTAATGAAGAAGTCAGATTCAAACATAGATTCGTTGATTTAAGAAGTGAACTTCTCCAGAAAAATCTTCGTAAACGCTCTTTAACATCATCAATTATTCGTGACTTTCTTAAAAGTGAAGGTATATAACACTTTCCAATGTTTATTATAATGTAATTCACATTATTAAAAAATTATTTTTATCGTTAGGATTTCTCGAGGTAGAAACACCCATATTATTCAAATCAACTCCAGAAGGTGCACGAGAATTTATTGTACCAACAAGAACAAAAGGGTCATTTTACGCTTTAACACAAAGCCCACAACAAGTTTGTCCATTTTATATGTTTATATATTCTTTTTTATATTTAATCGTTTGGAGTTTACCTGTAGTTAAAATAGATTTGTTTGACTCATCAAGTACAAACAATTACTTATGGCAGGAGGAATTGACAAATATTTTCAATTTGCAAAATGTTTTCGTGATGAGGATTTAAGAACTGATCGTCAACCAGAATTTACTCAAGTGGGAGACTTTTTTATTTTTCTTATTTTAAAAATTGTTGTTTATGCTTTTAAATTAATCAATTTAATTGTTTATTTAGATTGATTTGGAAATATCATTCATTTCAATGTCTGGTATCAAATCACTAATCGAGAAATTGTTGGTTAAAATATGGAAGGATGCTTTAAACATTGATTTAAATCCATTTCCTACGATTTCTTATGAAAAAGCTATGTCTAAAGTAATCAATCAATACATCTTCCATTTTTTAATATTAATCAAATCATAGAACAATAATAACAATATAACAATAAATCCTATTGTTTAGTATGGTTCTGATAAGCCAGATACACGATATGAAATGGAGGTAATTAATTAAAAGTTACATTTATTAATTATTAATTATTTATTATTATTAAAAATTATATTTGGTTTCCAGATTAAAAATATATCTCAACATTTATCTGATATTTTGGGAAATTCTTCAGAAATTATTGAATGTCTTGTCATTAAAAAGAGTGATAATTCCATTCTAAGTCAAATCAAACACCTAATTTCATCTCATAATGATCAAGAAATTAAGTTGTCAAGTGATGTATGGTATAAATACGCTTAACGTTAATCTCATCTATTTGTGTATTCACACATATTTTATTTAATTTTGAAAGTGTTTAATAATCACGCACATGCGTGCATACACATACTTTTTAGAACATTGATCTACTCAAAATTACACCAAAAAATCTAGATTCATGGTTATCTAAATCAAAAATTATACAAAAGTCATCTTTAATAAAATCATCTCAAGACATATTAACAAATGTATTAAATGTCGAAGTTGGTGATTTGATTGTCTTAAATATAAGAAACAAATTTTCTTCAGTAAGATAAATTTTTAGTGTATTTTCTTTGAATTTTTCTAAATAATAATAATGATTATTATTTTAGGGAAGTTGGACACCTTTAGGTCGTATTCGGGTTATAGCAGCAAAACTTTTACAATCAAAAGGTATTAAATTAAAAAATATTTTTATTTATTTTTATTTTTATATGTTTAAATAAGAAAATTATGACTTTTTTATGTAGGATTAATGAAAATTGACGGTTCACAATATAACTTTTTATGGGTTGATTCATTCCCATTATTTACCAATGATGATGATACTGGGCGTTTAATATCGAATCATCATCCATTCACTGCACTAATGCCAGAAGATATCGATTTACTTGATAAAAATCCTGAAAAAGTAAAAATATTCTTGATGATTTTTTAAAAAATCAAAAATTTTATTTAACCTATTATTTAATAGGTTCGTGGCCAGCATTATGATTTGGTGTTGAATGGTGTTGAAATAGGTGGTGGTTCTATTCGTATACACTCTCCAATTTTACAAGATAAAATATTTAATGATATTTTAAAGGTATAATATGATATAAATGAATGACAAATGTTTTTAAAAAATTCAACGATCCTGACATATATCATTGTGCTCATTTAGTTAAATCAAGAGGAAAAAGAAAGTTTTAGTCATTTAATAGCTGCTTTGGGATCTGGATGTCCGCCGCATGGTGGTATTGCATTAGGTTTGTTTGTTACTAGTGAATATATTTTTTATAATATACACACCAACTAAAACAAATAAGCAATTATTAGGATTTGACCGTCTCATGGCAATTATTTGTAATACCGACTCTATTAGGAATGTTATGGCATTTCCAAAAACTACATCTGGAAACGACTTGACTGTATCAAGTCCCTCAAAAATTTCAAATGAAAAATTACTGGAATATGGCATTCAATTGATTGATTAATTGATTGATTGATTGGTTTTAATTACTAATTATAATAAATTATTACAAGATGATAATATTAATGAAATGGTTTACCACCACAACTAGTTTTTTGTTGATAAAAATTTTCTAATTTGCGGATCGATCATCTTAATTTTTTTTTAATTCACAAAATCGGATTCGAATAGAAAGTCATGTTACAAATTTAGATGCGCACATTTTTGAACATTACGGCAAGTATTGCAAACTGATCCGTCGTCTGATTTTAACTCGATCAATGATATAATTGGAATCGTGATATCAACTAGTATATTAATATATATGGTTAGATAGCATACACTCGCACACATGATTAAAAATTGGAAGCCTGATGTGGGCAAACTTTATTCAATGAAAATTAGAAATACTATAATATTATCTTTCCAACTCTATTCCAAAGAGGAAATAAATCTATTCCGCATGGAAACAACAAAATATAACAAATATTTATTTTTGCCAACCATATCTTTAGTGTGGCTACTTTGATGTAATGTTTTTGTGAAATTGTCATTTGAAAAAGTCCAACATTCGGAATCAAAGAATCAACATAGGCAATATTTTCATAAGCTAGTTGAAAGTAATACTCCACCAAGTTACGAGTATGAAATGTTCCCTCTTTACGCAAAATATTATGCACATACTTTTCAAATAGTTTCCCATGAAGTAAACCTAATCAACCATCTCATGAGGCAGAAAGGAATGTAACAAGTCCTCATTTTTTTTGAAAGTTCAAAATGTTCTGCAACTTTCTCAACTACATAGGCGGAGGCGAATATTATGGTTGTGGAACAATAATCAATGGTGATAATATGGAGGATTCAATGACTAATATAATCAGGGCTATCAATTCCTCCAATACTCTGTATACATTTTTTCAGGTTGTTAGTAACAATTGCATTTTCAAGAGAATTTTCTGATGTCTCATTCTTTTCCAATACAAATCTTGGTATTTCACCCCATCTATCAAATTGACTCAACATTTCATTTTCTTCTATATGTGGAAACATGACATCTTTGCAATAATAAATCTCATTTAAACTTCAGATTAACATGTATCGCATTGTTGTGTATGGAAGCTCCTTGTAATAATGTGGATTTGGTGATGAGACAAAAGGTTCCTTGATATCTAGATACCGTGTAGTCTCTTTGTTCAAAATATGCCCTAAATTTCCAATTCAACCATGCTGTTATTGAAAATGATGAATTTATCATGATCGTGACTGTCTAGTAACATTGTTTCTCCAATTTTTACTAACTCATACAGTACATAGAAAAGGAAATAACTTTTTCCAATTCCGGGGTTTCCTGTAATTACAAAGCGGTAATGCTTGCCACTATCAATTAATACTTTAATCTCTTTGAAAATATCTGTAAAGCTTTCCGAATAAAATCTTTGAGGGATTATCTCAGTCACCAAGAAATACACCAGACACAAGAGAAAGAATATCATCAACAATGTTAATAATCGAAAGGGTATTCCAGAAATTCGACAGATTCTCAATTAATGATCTATTTCTTTATGAATTGCAATTGAAAAACGATTAATGATTGGATCGGATTAATTATTGGGTATTCAGTGGCCTGTTTCAGTAACGCATTTTTCCATTTACATCTGAGATGGATTTTTCACTGTACTTTATATTATTAAAACTAGGTGAAAAAACTCCAACACTCACAAGGTTAATGATTCTAATACTCCTGAGACTAATAATTCTAATGCCTCTAGAAACATCATTCCAACACCATCTAATCCAAGACCTAATCAAAGATTAATCATTAATGCAGGAATAGGAGAAACAAATGTGGTAAGTAAATCTTGCTGAAGTTAAAAAGACAATTAAGTACACATGTATCATATATTAATGGTATCTCTTTAGTACATATAAATAATAATTTCAATTTATCAAACTATATGCACACTGTGTGGTTAATTTAGATAATCCCAAAGAAGAAGGTTTTCTTGCAAATAAATCCCTTTATTATGTTTCTAGGGAATATGCACAATATTGTTTAGATAATGATGATTATGATCATTTGCCTCATGAAGTAGCACAGGAAATTCTAGATCAAAATTAATGAATATATTTTTATTTGTATTTACATCATATAACCATGATGTATATTTATTTATTTGTGTGTTGCCATTCCGGTGACATTTTTATATCAACAAAGTGAGGTCCTTTTAGTTCGCCATTTTTTATTTAACATGATTGTGTGAATGTATAGGAAAATTAATCTCATCTTGCAATTTTCAATAATGGAAGACATTGTTTGAATTGTATGTCAATATACAGATAACCCAAAAAAAAGTAACATCTAAGGTTAAGTATTTGCGGAAGCGGAATGTGCAACTATATGTCTAATAAAAAATAATCACATGCATTGTTTAACTCCTATATCAAAGTTATTTTCCAAGAACAGTTTTATTTTTCATTAAAAAGCACAAATAAATTTGTGGATAATAGTGGAGGTGGATATTAATTTATAACTTTAATCCAACATTGTCGTGAACTAAAGATATAACTAAAATTTTACTTATCCAATTGAAATAGGTCGTCTACATACGAAAGCCGTGATGGCCTCTGTCCAGATCTTGCTGTGTCAAAGGATTCAATAACATTCCGAATCAACAACTAAATTCATAAATAACACGTAAGATTAAAGGAAGTTAAATGTCACAACAAATAATCAATATTAATACATACCGCCCATTTCATTACACATTCATAAAAATAAACGAAATCCTTCATTTCAGAAAATTTTCGAGGAAGATTAGCGTTATTGATCTCATTTAATCTATACGCTCCTAAATTAACGTTTAGTTCAAACTTACCAGTACCTTTTTTATAATAAAAACTTTCCAATAAACGAACATACATACCACAATAATCAATATAAAATAAATGTATTCGAAGGCGGAAGCTTCGACCGCCAAATAAATATAATGTCTTAGGAAGTCGTCTTCTGTTCTTAATAGTTTCTTTTACGATCTCCGCAAACATATTATTTAAGTTATTTGTTATTTTTTCTAGATCATCCTTTGCTGTTGGTCTCGTGCCCTCTACATAGATAAGCTGATACTTGTTGGCATCTATTATATATCCCGCGCCATCGGCACGATTTTGAGTTTTATGAACAGTCAGAGCAAATGCATTCTGAAGAGGAAATTGATTCCTTGATGCTCTTTTGCCATAAACTTCAAAGTAAGATGTTTCTCTTTGGACAATAACCTTGCTTATGCTGGCTAAGGTAGGAAAGGTCACCTCAACATTCTCTTCATCATAAATTTTTGTTGTTATTCCAATAGTTCCATTGCATATTTTTTCATCAAATAGCTTATTATTAAGAAACATCACATGTGCACCTTCTTGTAAATACAATTTATGAGGCAAATTTGTTAAGTTTTTGAATTGAGCAATCATTTAATATTCCAAATTCCAGTGTGTCTATGCATTAGAAACCATTGGGTCATTGCATGTTTTGTCAAAAGGAAGATGATTAAAGAATACTGCATTGAAGGATTGAGCTGCTTTTCGAGTGTTGACCACATGTGTGGTATCGTAGAAACTACAAAGGTCAGTTTCTTGGTTAATTTTTGTTTGGATTATTTGCTTGCTTCTAACTGACAAAGTTCCTGTTCTTCTTACCTCTTGAAAGATCCTGTAAAATTCAACATCATTTTTACGATTTACGATTCATACTCTACCACAATTTTTTATATTGACGATGATTTCCTTTGCCACTTCAAAAAGGGCATGGTTGTTAAATAATGAATCAAATTTTCGAATTGTTGCATTTTTCTTCTTCATAATAAGCAACAGGAGAACCTTTTTCAAAAAAAAACTTTTGTTCAATTCCTTCAACAATAATATTTTTTTTCAAATTAAAAATCGTTTTTTAATATTAGAAATAACAATGATCAAAAGATTTATACAATTTTGTGAAACGAAAATTTTCCTTTTCTTTCAAAAATTTCCAGAGAGATAGTATCGTTGCCAATTCTTTCTAAATATTTTCTTTCGTTAAATTAAAAATATGACGCAATAAGAGTGAGGCATCGGCTATCAAAAATTTAAGCTCGCCTACCTCTTTGAATTTGATTAATCTATTATTAACACAACTGGCCTGACAAGAAGACTCATAGGCTGATTTGCAAGCATTTGTAAGTCAAGTTCATGAAGACTTCACCATTAACTCTTTGATCATATATTTATCGATTTTGTTGTTTCTTGCAAAATTCTTTAGTCCTATCTTTACTCCATCCTTTAACTTTTTCTTCTGTCGGGAGATCTACTGTTAGAAGGAAAGATGCTTGAAACGTTACAAGAGGATCGGAATAACTATTAACCCATCGAACTATGTATCAAGATTACTCTCAACTTTTCATTTCACTTTACCGTCCTTCTCAAGAGCCTATACACAAATCATCAACAACAGTCAATACATATGCTAAACAACGCTTCTTCAAAATACTCTCAATATCGAAAAGATCAAATGGGTGTCTCCCTGGTCAGGGAGATTTTACGAAATAATTGGTCATTCGTCATAAGATGTTAACATCCAGCCAAAAACACAAATCACTATTATTATCAAAATCAAAAAAATCTATCTAATATCATATGCTGTAACCAAATCAACACAACCAATATGAATCACTGCAATAACAATATTCTATTACGACGCGTTATAATGGTTTTCCTAACAAAACTTGTCTCATCTGTTTGAACAAATTACTACTAATCACGTATGTTTATTTTCTAAATCCCAGCTGTAAATAATTGCCTGCTCCTTAATATAACAACAGCTCTAATATTTGAATCAACCTCTAAATTGAGAAACAAATAAGCATCAAAAGAATTAAATAAAAAATTATATACAGTTTATTATGTTTAGAAGGTCATGGTCATTCAATTCCACATGAATACTTCAAAAGGAGCATTTACTTTTAAAGTTTCAAATTTATATTATTGACTTTTCAAAATCAAAATTATCAGATCAAGCAAGGGTAATCCATAATATTGATTATAGAGAGAAAGAATAAATATATGATGTTTTTAGTTGGGAAAATTTTAAAATATTACTATTGTTAATTAGCTTTACTCGCATATATTTTTATAGATTCAAGAGAACATTTTTTCTATATTCCCAATATTTAGAGCGAATCTTATCATGTTCTTCAGCCAACAATGTGCAAGTCTAGTAATGAAATTATTTGATTATTTTTAAAAAACCAATAAATTTAAATTATTCTAAAAATTATTAAATTACATATACTAAAAAAAAAAAACCTTAATTCCTTCATCCTTGTCTTTTTCAAATCCAAGTTTTGCACGTCTTTCATAAATATTTACTAAACAACCAAGTGCATGAGGAGAAATATTTTCCTTTTCAATAAGTTCTTTACACAAACTTTCTAAAATGTCTATTTCCTGATTAGATTTTGCAATAACTCTAAAAAAAAGAGATATATATATATTTCTAATATTATAAAAATAAATAAATTTATATGAATGCGAATGAGAATAAGGTTTTTTTTACCCTTTAACATAATTCCAAGGACTTATATTGTTTGGTGTTATTTTAATTTTAGATATTGCATAGCTTTATGAATAATTGACAAAAAAAAATAATTAATAATAATAATAATAACAACAACAAAAATAAAATTTTTAAAGTATGAAAGTTTACATACTTTATTTCACGAGAAATCAAATCATCAGATGGTTCTTTAGGATTATGAAATAAAACAAAGTATCTTTGATTCCATGCAGAATTATTTCTTATATCATTATCTAAAAGCGTGTCCAAATATAATAATTCCTCGTCCCAAAGATTAAATGATTTAATAACCCATTGTCTTTCGATGATACCAATAACAATATATAGTTAAATAATGATAATAATAAATATATCATTCTAGAAGTTATAATATTACCTATAAGTCCATGCATGGTAATTTTTTGCGTCATCTCTTAACACTTCGTTGATGAATGATATTTCCGATGAATTATCCTCAAGCTTTTCAACAATTACATGTCGATGATGCCTTAATATACAAACAAACAAACAAGCATACATACATATATTAAATGACTGATTGCAAAAAAAAAGAAAGTCATATTATGAAATAAATTTTTTCTTTATTACCAAAGTTGATAATTTTTGGGATTTTCAAGTATTTGATTTTTAACATATTCCAGTTCATCATATAAATTGCTATTCAAAGCAAACAAAATTTTTTGACGATAATACCTTTTCAAATAAAATAATAAAAATTTGTTGGTTAAATCTATCTATACACACATATTATATATAAAATAAGGAATTAAAAAATCAAATTTACCAAATGGTATAATGAGCTGGATTGTGTGAAATAATTGCTTCCGTTAACTTTAGAGCCCTTTCACTATATTCTTCTTTTCGAGAAATTGCTCTAAAATAATCCATTATACGAGAGTCTAATTTGAAAAAATAATTATTATTAAGCTAAAACTACATTCATTATATTTTTTAGAAGAAACTTTTATTTTACAATCTGGATCATAATTTATTGGAGCTAATGGATTAGGACCATCGTCTTGCGGAATTGGCTCGACGTCTTCCCATTCTTGTTCATCAAAAGACATTATAAAAAATGTTTGAAATTTTGGTATTGTACAAATTCGATCATCCTTTTAATATTAAGCAGAGCGATCTACATAAATAAAGATTTGCGATAACTGTTGAAATTATAGAAAGGGTAATAATAAGACGATTGCATCAACAACATCATCAACAATGACAAGAGCAGCTTTAAATCATTGGTTTACAAGCTCAAATCGTCTATTATTGGACTTAAGATCTTTGGATGTTCATTACCGTCGCAGAATAATTCCTTCAGCTTGCATACCTGTATCAGATTTGAATTTGTATTGGTTTGAATTGCCACCAAAATCCATTCCATTTGCTGTACTAGAGCCAAGTGATAATAAAGGTGTTGCTAACCAATTACTCAAAGATCATGGATGGAGGATCAATTGGGTGTTTAATGAGGCTGATGATGAAGTGTGGAAATTTGCTAAAGAATTTAATATTCTTGAAATTTGTGAAAATATATTATCATCTCCAACAAATAATAACATTAATAACAATAACTACAGTAGTGGTAATAGTGATTGTAAGATGAAGAAATGGTTTTTATTTCGACCAAATCCTTTTCTAATGAATAATATTGAATTAATAGAACAATCATTAATTGGTGAATCATTTATGTATGATCAACAAAAAAAGGTTTTTAATTGCTTGGATGTTGGATGTGGTAGTGGTAGAGATATTTGTTGGCTTAGTGCAAGGAAATCATCCGGTGTTGATTGGTATGTTACAGGTATGGATGTGTTAACAAGTGCACTTGATCGTGCCAAACTCTTAGCCAAACGAATGGATGTACCACATAAAATTCAAACAATTAATGCTAAAATCTTGAATAATGGAAATATCAAGTTGCTATTACCAATAAGGGAGGATGAAAATAAAGAAATTATTACAAGCGAAAAAGAGCACAAGAAAGAAAGTAATGAAGAAATTCTAAATAAAAGATATGATCTTGTTCTTTGTATAAGATTTCTAAATAGAAATTTTTTTGATAAAATGATAAATCTTGTAAATCCAGGCGGATTCCTATTACTAAGTACATTTGTTGATGATAAGATACATGTATATGAAAGGCCTCATAGCGATGAACATAGATTGAAATTGGGCGAACTCTCAGAAATAGTGAAAAATAAATATCAACACTTTAATATAATCCAAGATAAAATTGAATTTATTGAAGATGGTAGACCTGTTAATTCTTTTCTAGTTAGAAGAAAAAGTGATGATAATAATGTGTTATAGTAATAGTTATATTATATATGACTTTGCAATGCATTTTCATTTCTTACTAATTTATTTTGCATGAATAATTATATTATATAACTTTTCAACTCTTCAAATTATAATATTAATATGCAGAGGATCATTTAATGTTCATTTTTGTAAACCAAAAACAAAAATATGGCTTGTGGTGTTTGAGAAAAAAAATTTTAAAAAATTATATCTATTACGCTTTAATGC